TTGTTGTTGTTGTTGTGCCCCGCGCTGGAATCGAACCCAGGTCCTCTCACTTGTGAGGCGAGTGCTCTAACCACTGAGCTGCCGGACTCCACATGACAAACTGGACCAGGTTTAATTCCCAACACTGGCAACAACGTCAAGGTAACAGTTACGAAAAAAAGGAGTAAAATTTGTAATAAACCTTATTTACTGTAAAATGACATTACTCAACGGATCCCTCCTCCCCCCCCCCCCCCCAACCAACTAGACTGTGTGCCGTAAATGCGATTGCATGCGATTTCTCAACGAATTTTATTAATAATAATTTGGCCACTCCATCCACGACTGTTGGTGGGACGCTGCGGTGCGCAATTGGCTGCCGTGTTTCGCCACAAAATGCACGGTCACTACACTTCACGGAGTATCCTGTGAAGCGCTTTGAGACGTCTCGACGACATGATAAGGCGCTGTATCAAATGCAAGGATTATTATTATTATTATTAAACCTGTGCTCAGCAACCTCAAAGTTGCCTTTATGTGCTCTTAAGTCACGGTTTGCTGGTGTGTGCGGTGTAGACCATTTTTTGAGCCAAGTTTGCTTGATGAATTTGCCACGGTTTGACAAAATGTACACAGAAACACAAGAAGCCCAGGTTGGCGCTGGGGAGCTGAGACCTGTCTGTGATCGCGGGTAACTGTGTGGACGACAACACACTGACTGGCAAACCTTTGCATCAGCGCTGTCAGGAAACAGATGTCAGTCAGCGTTCCTGGATTGGAGAATGCTGCATCATTGTGTTTATTTAGCACTTTCCTCTCAAACCGCAGCAACGCCATCGCTTTGTCAGTTCGTGGGAGCCTTCACCTCTCAAACCTCAGAGCAGTATATTTGCAGCTAAGTTACCTAGAGTCCTGTAGCGCAGTGGTTAGAGTGTTCCCCTCGCGTGCAAGAGAACCTGGGTTTGATTGCCTGGGCAGGGCAGGTCGGTGTGAGTTAGGCAAGTTTCCTTACTCCGCTCACACACACACACCCTTCTGTTTACCGAGCGGTAAGTAGGAATCCTCAGCCACCTTTCCTGGCAACCTTTGATTGGCCCACAGAACATGCAGTCACTACACTTTACAGTATATCCTGCAAAGCGCTTTGAGTCGTCTGGAAGACCTGATCAGGCGCTATGTCAAACGCAAGGATTATTATTATTATTATTATTACTTTTTCAAGCCCATTTAAAATTGCGTACAGCTCTCTATGAGGTGCCCTCAAAATCGTCACTTCTCCAGACTGAGAACCCCGGCTTGTTTAAGCGCTCTGAGACGCTACCCTCTAGGGTGGAGGGCGCTATACAAGTGCAAGTTGTTGTTGTTTAGTTGTTGCTCATTGCTCCTTCCTCTAACACTGCCAAGTCCTTTCTCCTCACCCACCCTACCACTTTGTTCAATTCAGCAGCCTGGCTCCGTAGCTGTGCTCGTCATAGATGTGTCTACGCTGCCTGTAACTGAGCTTGTGGTGAGGTGAATGCATCATTCAACAATGCAGACTCGATGGCTCTCGTGCAGGGGAATACCAGCTTAGATTTAATGAGCCAAATGGCCGGTCTCTGTGTTGCAACGTTCAATGACTCGATGAGTCTTGACCGCGCCTTCGGTCACCCTTCTGCCCTCCACCCCTCCGGATCCCAGCCGCCAGCTCGGGTGCAACCCCTCAACTGTCCAGCACCTTGGGACATCCTCCCGAAGTGAAAGGCGCTGCGTAAAATGTCATTTGTTGCTGGGAGTTTTCACCCTGTGACTTGTTGCACTGAGCTGCTGGCAGTGTGCAGTTTATTCAGGTATTAGCATGCTTACAAGATACTGAAGTGGATTGGAACTTCTCCCCGCTCTCAGCTTCTCCCCTTGCGTGACACGGGACCAGGCTATATTTATCTGTAAATAGAGAAGGCAGATAAGTGGAACAATAAGGAAATGCAGCTCCTGAGGTTTAACGACATTGTGACTTTGGATCGGGTTCAAGTTCTAACACATAGGTGACTCCTGAATGACTCACCCGACTGAAATGAAACCAGGATCTCCTCTGTTTGCTTTCTGTATTTCAGTTTCAATTGCATTTTTACTAACGAGGCAAATTCCAAAACAACAGAAAGCACTGAACACGTAGTTAAGAGGGAATAAAGTCGAGCAATAATGATAATAATCCTTGCATATGCCTTATCATTTTTGGAGTCCTGCAGCTCAGTGGTTAGAGCACTCGCTTTGCAAGTGAGAGACCTGAGTTCAATTCCAGGCAGAGGGCCAAACCTTGGGCAAGTTTCCTTACTCCACACAGAGCCTAATAATAATCCTCCAAAACAAAACAATAATAAATTGTCATTTTCAATCTACGACTGTTTGTGGGACATTGCTGTGCGCAATTGGCTGCCGCGTTCGCCCACAAATATACAGTCAATTCACTTTACAGTGTGTTCTGTGAAGCGCTTTGGGATGTCCTCCCGACGTGAAAAGCGCTATATCAAATGCAAGGATTATTATTATTATCATGTCGGAAGGTTGTCTTAAAGCGCGTCACGAGATTTACTGTGGAATGGAGTGACTGCGTGTGTTTGTAGGCACAAGTGAGAGGACCTGGTTGTTAGTCGATTGGCGGATCGGTTGGAACCACTGACTCCGGCTGGGATGAGTGGAGTCAATGAGTCAGTGGGCTGTTTGCTCAAAGAGAGTATCAAAGCCAGGCACTCAACCCCACACACGTGTACACACACACACACTCACTTGCTTCTGAGCAGGAGTCAGGAGACAGCAATTTATACACTGGCTATTTTTTTCTGTCTGTCTGCCTGACTTCTTTTTGGTTAACCGAGTATCTGGCCCATGAGGAAACCCATCACCGCGTTTAAGAGTCTCCACACCCAACTGAGAATTCCACGCATCCCACCTACACATGGAGCCTAACCAGCTGGACCCACATAGCTTGCCCATTGATAGCCCACAAAGTACCCAGTCAATTCACTTTACAGTATGTCCTGTGAAGCGCTTTGAGACGTCTCGAAGACACGATGAGGCGCTCTATCAAACGAAAGGATTGTTATTGCTTCCCACTATCACAAACTGTGGCATCTTAAAGGAGAACAGCTTTCGTTTACCGGTGTCTTTAACATATTTTACATCTGCAGCAAAAGACAGAGTGCCCTAAAAATCATGGGCTGATTTTGGGGCGTGTTGTTTCTCGTAGCTTCGAAAAGACCGAAGGTTTCGCTGGAGTTCACGTTTAGTAACTTGAGGCGTCCTACTATAGACTGCAGGAGATCAGATCACGAGATGTGTTGTGATCAGATCAAGACATGCAGAGATGAGGAGTCACAGACTGCGATCTTCTGATGTACCCTGTTCAACCTTTACCTGTTCCTTTGATGTTGGGCTTGAGAGAGATAGAGATAAGGGAGGTAGAGAGAGAGAGAGAATTCCTGCACAGTGTGAAAGCAACTGATTGCTCCTCAGAACCGCTGGGTGACATTCAGTCGGCGTGACCGCAAAACACACGCGGTCGGTCACCCTACTGTACAGCGAATCCTGTGAAGTGCTGTGAGACGTCTCGGTAACGTGATAAGGTGTTACATCAAGTGCAAGGATTATGTTCATCCAGAACTCTGCAGCCCGTGTCCTCTCCCGCACCGGGCTCCGCGACCCTATCACCCCCATCCTCGCCCGACTCCACCGGCTTCCCTTCACACAGAGGATACAGTTCAAGATCCTGGTCCTCACCTTCAAAGCCCTCCATGGCCTCGCTCCCCCCGACCTCTCCGAACTTACGGGTCTTCAGCCACTCTTCCCCCACCCTCTAGAACTCCATCCCGCAGTCCCTTTGTCTCACCCCCTCCCTCCCCACCTTCAAGACCCACCTCAAGACCCTCCTCTTCGACCGTGCTTTCAATCTCCCCGCTTCCCCCCCCCCGCCCGCCCTCCCTCCTCCCCCACCCCGACCCGCTCGGGTCCGTAACTCTGTCTGTCCAGCACCTCGGGACGTCCTCCCGACGCGAAAGGCGCTTTACACGTGGAATTGTGTTGTCGTTTTTGTTGCATGCCGTGTACAACGATAATCCTTGCATTCTTAGCACAACGTTGAGAGAGACGTCTCAAAGCGCTTCACCGAATATACCGCAAAAATGAATCGACTGTATATGACTGCACGTTGCCTTGCTTGTGAGGCGAGCGTGCGAACCGATACGCCACGGGACTCGCGCGCGTGCGTGCGTGCTCGTGTGCGTGCGCGCGTGTGCGTGTAAAGGGCGGCAAAGCTTGGCTGCGTCGAATGGTTCCCATTGGTTCCCCCGCGCCAGAATATCCGAAGGCGGCCGCCTGCGGAGCGAGGCTGCGGAATGCAGAAGCCCTTCCGGGGACGCCGTATCTAAGCGCGGGTTGTTGTTGTCGCCGCAGGTCAAGCCGCGGCGGGGCACCGTGGGAAGCAATTGGAGCACGGCCAAGAGGACATCTGCCGGTCTGCGTCGGGAGCAGCAGTCTGGCGGCAAGCCTTTCTTTCAAGGGGAATCACACCCGCCAAAAAAGGACAGTAACAACAGCAGTAATCGCAGCAGTAGCGGCGGCGGCAATGTGGTCACTCAATCCACGACTGTTTGTGGGACGCGGCCGCCGCATTTCGCCATCCAGAGTCGATCCACTCGGCGCCGCGCACCCCGATGAATCGAGTCAAATTATTATTATTATTATTATTATTATTATTATTATTAAGTGGATCGACTGTGCATTTTGCCGGGAGGAACGAGAGTTTTATTTTGTGTGGGGGGGGGTGGGGTGGGGGGTGGGGGCTGTGTGTGTGTGGGTGTGTGTGTGGGTGGGTGTGTGGAGAGAGAGAGAGGAGGAAAAAAAAAGTCTAGAGAGAGAGGAGAGAGAGAGGAGGCAGAGCGGACGCAAGGGGGCGCTGTGGCCTTTTGCTCGGAACGTTTAGCCGCCGCCACCGAGTTCCGGGGAGGAAGGGGGGAACGGGAGAGGATGGGTGTGTGGGTGTGTGTGTGTGTGTGGGAAGGGTTTGGCGGCCGGACCGGAAGTGCCGCGGCCAGACCGGAAGTGCTGCGGCTCGGCTCTCGGCGCGAGCGGAGGAAGGCGAGAAAGAAAGGAGAAGAGAAGAGGAGAGAGAGAGAGAGAAAGGAAGGAAGGAAGGAGGGAAGGAGCGAGCGGAGGGAGGGATGGACGGGCCGCCCGAGGTGACGGAGATGTATGACCAGGCGCTGCTCGGGATCCTGCAGCACGCGGGCCGCGTGGAGAACTTTCTCGAAGCCATGTTCGGCTTCTTGTACCGCAAGACCGACTTCTACCGCCTCCAACTGCTGAGGGAGGACCGCCTGGGCTTCCCCCCGGGGGGGGCGGCCAGGATAGCCCTGCAGGTCGGTGACCCCCCCCACACACACCCCCCTCACACCCCCACACCCCCCCTCACACACCCCCTCACACCCCCACACCCCCCCTCACACACCCCCTCACACACACACCCTCACACACCCCCTCATACACCCCCACACACAGCCTGGGGGGGCGGCCAGGATAGCCCTGCAGGTCGGTGACCCCCCCCATACACACACACCCCCCTCACCCCCCCCTCACACCCCCACACCCCCCCTCACACACCCCCTCAACACCCCCACACACAGCCTGGGGGGGCGGCCAGGATAGCCCTGCAGGTCGGTGACCCCCCCCCACACACACACCCCCCACCCCCCCCTCACACCCCCACCCCCCTCACCCCCCTCATACACCCCACCCCCCCACACACCACACCCCCCCTCAACACCCCCACCCCCCCCCCCCCCCACACACAGCCTGGGGGGCGGCCAGGATAGCCCTGCAGGTCGGTGACCCCCCCCCCCACCCCCCCCCCCCCCCCCCCCCCCCACCCCCTCCTCACACCCCCACACCCCCTCATACACCCCCACCCTCACACCCCCACACCCCCCCTCACACCCCCACACACAGCCTGGGGGGGGCGGCCAGGATAGCCCTGCAGGTCTGTGACCACACACCCCCTCACACCTCCACACCCCCCCTCACACCCCCCCTCACACACCCCCCCTCACACCCCCATACACAGCCTGGGGGGGGCGGCCAGGATAGCCCTGCAGGTCGGTAACCCCCCCCCCTCACCCCACCCCCCCCTCACACCCCCACCCCCCCTCACACCCCCCCCCCCCCACCCCCCCCCTCATACACCCCCACACACAGCCTGGGGGGCGCCAGGATAGCCCTGGGTCACCCCCCCCCCCCACACCCCCCCTCACACCCCCACCCCCCCCCCCCCTCCCTCACACACCCCCCCCCCACCCCCCCCCCCCATGCACCCACTGCTCAACCCTAACCGCCTCTCATACACCCCCTGACCTCACCCCATACACACCTCACACCGCACCGCAGCCTGAGCTTCCAGTTAATAATAACAGTAATCCTCGCGCTTGACCCGGCGCCTCATCACGTCTTCGAGACGTCTCAAAGCGCTTCACGGGACGCACTGTCAAGTGTAGTGACCGTGTATTTTGTGGGCGAAACGCGGCAGCCAATTGCGCACAGCAGCGTCCCCCACAAACAGCCGCGGATTGAGCGACCAAATTTTTATACCTCGCCCCCCCCCCCCCAACCCTATATACCCAAACACTGTCCTCGTACACCCTCAGCCCCAACGCTGTACACACACACAGGCTGATAAGGCGCTGTATCAAGTGCCAGGAGTAACCAAGGCTCTCGTCACTCCTTCTGGTCTTCAGGCTTTCAAGAAGTACGAACATTACGCGATCCAGGACCACGAGAGGCGCATGAAGGATCTGGAGGAGAAACTGAAGAAGAAGACGAAGATGGAGGAAGAGAGGACGAGCGTCCCGCCCTCCATCCAGGAGGTGGAGGTGGGCTCCACGGGCGAGGAGACCCCCGGAGCCGCGGCGGCGGAGGCGGCAGGGGAGGAGACGGTGGGAGCGTCTGCGCAGCCAGCCGTCAGCAGCGACATCCCCGCTGAGCAGCCAGGGGGCGCCACTGCCTTAGACGTCAAACAGGAGCCCACTGAGCCTCCAGAGTAGGTCCCGTTACACTCTGAGCATTTGCTGTGGTGCGTCGTGTGGTGGTGACCAGTCAGAGTGAGCAGTGTCACCGCTTTGGGAATATGGTCACTTGCCAAAGCCGTCGTTTTCCGGCGCCTTAGCACGTGCTCCTGCGCCTTCTCCGTGTCCCCGGCCCGACCCACCATCGGCGGTTGGGCCTTCGGCCTCTCTGCCCCACCCTCTGGAACTCCATCCCACAGCCCTTCCGCCTCGCCCCCTCCAGACCCGTCTCAAGACCTTGCTCTTCCACCGTGCTCTCGGTCACCCCCCTACCCCTACCTTCCCTGTCCTCCACCCTTCCTAATCCTAACACCCCCACCCCCAGCTGGGGTGTGGATCCCTGACTGTCCAGCGCCTCGGGACTTCCTCCCGACAGAAAAGGCGCCGTATAAATGTAATGTGTTGTCGTTGTCGGCTTCACAGGATATACTGTAAAGCGGAGTTGACTGTGTATTTGTGGGCGAAACGATGCGTGGAACACTCAGTTTGGTTTGGATACCGTTAAGGGATGTTATCGTGATAGGTTTCTGTGTGTGTCAGACCCCCGACCCATCCAAAAAAAAAAGAGCAGAGAGAGAGAGAGATATAAGTAAATGTTCAAAAGCAGCATCAAAGCTTGACAGTAATGTATGTCCTCCCCCCACACACACACACATACGTGTGCATACAGGCTTACTGCAGGCATGGTTTGCTTCACATTGTGTGGGCTGTTTGACTATTAGGTGAGAAAGACATTGAAAATGAATTGTCGGAGCAGGCAAAACAATTAACCTGCCATCAATATTTCAGTTGATGCTAAACGCCAGTGGTAACCTGCATTATTCATGATTATTAAGGCTGTTTTTTTCTGACTGGCTGATCGCTGGCCAAAGAAGTACAAATGAACCGCTGTCATTTGTGGAGTTAGTGCACGTGCTGTTAACACGTGACATTTTCACAGCGCCTTTCATGTCGGGAGGACGTCCCAAGGCGCTGGACAGTCAGGGATGTTGGACCCGAGCTGGGGGTTGGGAGCAGGAGGGGTGGAGGGCAGGAAGGGTGACCGAAGGCACGGGTTGGTCGAAGTGGAGAGTCTTGAGACGGGCCTTGAAGGAGCCGAGGGAGGTGGAGGGACAACAACAACAACTTGCACTGATACAGGGCCCTTCACGCGGGGCAGAGGCTCTGAGCCGCTTAAAAATCTCATCGCTTTACCCACATGTTGAAACCTCTGGCTAAGGAACCTTCCGAATGTTGGGATCGCTGCCCTCAGTCTGTGCTGTTCTGTAAAGAGTTCCCCATTAGAATTGCTTGTCTTGCCATCTGCTTGGCAGTGTCAGCATCATTGTGCAGAAGCCACTGCACTAAAATACAGTCGGATAGCTCTTTCAAAGAGGCATGATGGGCTGCATGGCCTCCTTCTGCGCTGTGTGATTCTATGATGTGCATTTTGCCCACAAAATATACAGTCAATTCACTGTACAGCATATCCTGTGAAGCGCTTTGAGGCATCTCGACGATGTGATAAGGCGCGGTATCAAATGCAAGGATTATTATTACTATTATTATGATTCTAGGGAAATGACCTGGGATTCAGCCTTTGAGGATTGCTTGACTGACTGACTGACTGACGGTCACACTCTCTGCCTGTATGTTTGCAGGAAGCTCAGTGTTACTCAGGAGAACGCTGACAGCTACAATGGGGCTGTGAGAGACACTTACACCTGGTCCCAGGATTACACTGACCTGGAAGTCAAAGTGCCCGTGTCGAAGTCCACAGTGAAAGGCAAACAGGTAATAATGGCCAGTTACACTCGGTCGCAATTGAGACGTCTCAAAGGCCTGATAAGGCGCTATATCAATTGCACCGATTATTATTACAGACTCCCTATTCTCCCTGCAGTTGTTAATCCTGGTTTGTTCGGAACGTGTGTCAGCCTGGCTCTCGTCACTGTCAATGTGTTCAAGCCCTGGTTGGGACTTTGAACTCCTAGCTGCTAGCTGGTCGATTGGTGGATCGCTTTCCGTGGGTAACAACCCCACCCCCCCCCAAGACATTAATAATAATTTGGTCACTCAATCCACGGCTGTTTGTGGGGACGCTGCTGTGCGCAATTGGCTGCCGCGTTTTGCCCACAAAATATACAGTCACTTCACTTTACAGTGTATCGTGTTAAAGCGCTTTGAGACGTCTCGACGACGTGATGAGGCTCTGTATCAAATGCCGAGAATGATGGCTGGGGTCACTTTTAATTGCATCTTCTCTTTGTACCCAGGTGTCCGTAGACATCCAGAACAGTTACTTGCGTGTGGCCGTGTTTGAAGGAGCGAGCGAGCGGGTGCTCATGGACGGGAAGCTCACCCACAAGGTCAACACAGAAAACTCTTTGTGGAGCTTGGAGCCGGGCAAATGCATCTCGGTAAGTGAGCCGTTTAGTTCAGCTGTGGTGTCGGCAAATTAAGTGTGGGAAGAGATCAATTTGCGTAGTAACTTTCAGGTAAATCCCCAACTTCAATTGTTAACCACTGCACTTTTTATCTCGATGAGTAAGAGGTGCCCTATTAAAAATCATAGCATTTGAGATCCTAAAAGGATTCCTTCTGTGTGGAATGGGTACACATCAGTGGCTCTGCTTGCAGTCAGCTGCTATTTGACGGTCATTAAATCTCATTTTATTCTGCCTTCATTTCCCATCATTTAGGAGCCCTGTAGCTCAGTGGTTATAGCGCTCGCCTCGCAAGCGAGAGGACCTGGGTTTGATTCCCGGGCCGGGCAAAGGCTTAGGCAAGTTTCCTTACTCCACACACGCGGCTCTGTTTACCTAGCAGTAAGTAGGAACCCGGTTGTTAGTGGATTGCCGACCCGCTTTACGGGGTAATCGTAATCCCTTAAAAAATATTTAGGTCACTCAATCCGCGACTGTGCGCAATTGGCCGCCGCGTGTTTGCCCGCAAGATATACAGTCAATTCACTCTGCAGTGTATTCTGTGAGACGTCGCAATGTCGTGACAAGGCGCTATAACAAATGCAAGGATTATTATTATATGTTGTTAAACGGCTGTGTATCCCACATGCAGTGTTCGAGCTGAGCTGCAGTTTGTCAGAACTGGAACTAGAATTCAGTTGGCTTTACAATTGCACACAGCACACTGCTCACTCAGCCTCTCGTGAGAGGCCTGTAGATGCTTTGATTTTCTTTTTTCTGCTTGCAAGCTCATTATCTTTTCGGGATGTCTTGATGGCACGACATCATCAATCGTACCTTTCCCTCTTCGCCTCACCAAGTGAATCTCTCTCTCGCCCCCTCTCTCTCTCTCCTTCTCTCTCTCTCGTCAACATGTTCTTTTTTGCTTCCTTTTAATAATTCCTCTTCCCCCACCCGTTGATGTACTTGCTCATTTTGGCCACTGAAAGATAGTCAATGAAGATGGACTACCCAATTAAACATTGAAGTAAAAAAACACACACACACACAGTAGCTAGCGTGCGCTCAGAGAGAGAAAACCACTTGCCGGTTGGTCTCAAATGCCTTAGAATGGCAGAAATTTGGATCGCAGTGACAGGAGCACAAAAAACCGCAAGTGAAGAGGGAAAAAGAAAGATTGCAATGGTTTTCAGAACCAGGCAATAAAGAGAATCTCAAGTGAGGCTTTTTGTGACAAGCGTTTGGAAACCTTCACCGGTGACAGAAGCTGAGAATTTTTAAAATATTTTTTGGGAGTATTAACCCTTTTCAAAGCCGTTTGTTCCTCAAATATCGAGCATGAGTTAAACCAGTGATTACAGCTTGCTGTTACGTAACAATAATCATCATAACAATAATAATAATAATCTTTGCATTCGATATAGCGCCTTATCACATTGTTGAGATGTCTCAAAGCGCTTCACAGGATAATACTGTAAAGTGAATTGACTGTGAATTTTGTGGGCGAAACTTGGCAGCCAATTGCACACAGCAGCGTCCCCACAAACAGTCAGGGATTTGGCGACCAAATTTATTTAGTTAGTTTTGGAGGGATTATTGCCCCCGGAAAAGCGATCCGCCAATCGACTAACAACCGGGTTCCAACTTGCCTGAGGTTTCACAATTGGCTGCCGCGTTTTACCATCAAAAAATACAGTCACTCCACTTTGCAGTATATGCAGTGAAGCGCTTTTGAGTTGTCTGATGAATTGCTGCATCAAATGCAAGGGCCATTATTGTCAATAAACACAAGGATTGTGATTAGATTTCTGCTCAACTCTACAAAGGAAATGTGTGTGGTTTCCGAACACAGATCAGCCTGAACAAGAACGGCGAGTACTGGTGGAATGCCATCCTGGAAGGTGAGGACACGATCGACATTGAGAAGATTAACAAGGAGAGATCGATGGCCACGGTGGACGAGGAGGAACACGCTGTCCTGGACAGGCTGACCTTTGACTACCACCAGAAGATGCAGGGGAAACCACAGAGCCACGAAATGGTAAGCAAGGGAGGTGGGAACACAGAGAGAGAAGCTGGATGAAGGATTGCTTTCATTCCTCCCCTGAGCAGCGTGGCCTCAGGCCAGCCAGTGCTAGAGGGTTTATGAGGTCCCTCCCTACCTCCCTCCCACATACTCACTCACTCGTGCTCAACAATAATCATAATAATAATCACTCACTCACTCGCTCGTGCTCGCCCTCTCGCCTCTGGGTCAGGAGATTTTGTGTTTCTGCCTCGTGTCCACTCCTGAGCTCATAGAGAAGATCAGGGCTGAATTACCTGAGCTCTTACTGTTTCATGTGAGAAGTTATTCCGAGATCGCCCCTGTGCCTGTTCAGGTGGATGTTCTAAATCCCTTGGTACCACTTGGAAAGAGAAGCGAGTTTCTCTCTCACGGTATCAAACACGGTTACTAATTTGGTCTCTTAATCCACGACTGTTTGAGGGACACTGCTGTGCGCTATTGGCTGCTGTGTTTTACCCACAAAAGTATCCAGTCAATTAATTTAACAGTATATTATGTGAAGTGCTTTGTGACGTCCCAACGACGTGAAAGACGCTGTATCAAATGCAAGGATTATTATTTGGATGGAGTTGCAGGCAGTAACAAAGTGGATGACTGCGTTAATGATCGATGAGATCAAGTTAGGTTTGGCTGCAGAAAGAAATGAAAGGTATATCAAAAATCTTTACAAGAGTAGCTTTCCCTGCAATGCTATTGTGAGGGAATGGTGCTAAGCTGGAAGAACGCACGGACCAATGACTAAGCCAGCTAACGTGCGCTCAGAGCTAAAGGACCCGCTGTAGCTTATTCCCGAGGAGAAGCAAGCGAGCAAAGAGACCGAGGGGGAAAAACGGAGACGAGGGAAATTCACCTCATGGCAGAGCGAGCAGCCAAAGCAAAAGGAGACAGAAAACCAGGGTCCAAAGCACAGCCAGCGAACAAAGTAGGAGCTGAGAGAGAGCGAGAAAGACAGAGAGAGGGAAGCACAGAGAGAGAATTGAAGTAAGTCTAAGAATGCTGCAGATAAATCGTATAGTTTTTAAGCAGACTTTATCTTTACAGTAAACTCCTGACAGCGATGTACCCAGTGAGTTGTTACGGTCTGGAATGCACCGCATGATTCAGTAGTAGCTTTCAAAAGGGAATTGGACAGGGACTTGAAAAGGACAAATGTGCGGGGCTGCGATGGGATAAGAGCGGGGGGGAGTGGGGCTAGTTGGTGGCTCTTCCAAAGAGCCGGCACAGGCACGATGGGCCAAATGGCCTCCTCCTGTGCTGTAAAATTCTACGTTCCCTGACTCCGTGAACTCGTCACTCCAATGGAAAAGGAAGTGTTATCAGGAGTGTGGGAGAGTTTGGCATGTGTATAAATGCATCAATAAACGTGCCTGGGATACTGACAGCCCGATGACTTAAGTGGTGGTGACAAGTTAAGCCAGGGTCGAGTTATCAGGAATTTACTGTATACGTTTATTCATTAGTGGCTCTGTAATCAATTGATCGATTGTTAAATGGAAGTCGTTTGCTTTTTGTTTGTTTTTTGGTCAGCCGGGTGTCTTGACACAAGCGGAAACCCATCACTGTGCTCAAGATGAGTGCTTTAAGCGCTCTGGGACACTATCCCTGCGTGAGGGGTGCTATATAAATGCAAGTTGTTGTTGTTGTTGTTGTTGCGGTGAATAAAGACTGACCAGAATATTGATGACTGAGAGACGCTAGGCATCCAGGCACAGTGTCAGCCCCAGCTCCGCAGGCATCTGGGCATTTACATCTTGTGTTTGCATCTAAATATAGATTTCTGCTGATGTTGGAGGGAAACAGCGGCCAAATCCAATCATTAGAGACCGTTTTAAGGAGTGCTTGTGTAACACTTTTTTTTTGATGTATTCGCTGCAGCCTCCAGACAAAAGACAGCTAGCGTTAACTCTTTCCTTTCTGCCCAGTAAGTGGGTTCCATATTCTTTCAAGGATTATTAACATACGTCGGGACAGGCTAAACCCCGAGTGCGGTCGCTCCCACAGAACAGCACCGACCGATCTGCGCGTGTAGTTTGTGCAGATAAGTGTGGGGGGGGGGGGGGTGGGGGTGGGAGATTATCATCAGATAGATAAACCTCAAGCTGTTATTAAACTTCAAAGAAAAGCCTCTCGGGCCTTACGAATTGATAGCTAATGAGAAACACTGAACAAAATATCTCATTACTTGAATCAACGGGGAGGGGAGAGATTCCTCGCTGAACTGGGTTTTAATATGAATCTCAACGGCGAGCAGGTGCATTCCTGCCTTGCCGTTATTAGGCACGTGCGGTAGTTGTGCTCAGCAGTGCCGGGGTGCGGAACACCCATACCTTTCACAACCATTACCGTCACACAACAACTTCCGAAAGGGAATTGGATAGGGACTCAAAAAGGGACAAGCTCGTGGGGTTATGATGGGGAAAGAGCGGGGGAGTGGGGCGAGTCGGTGGCTCTTCCAAAGAGGCACGATGGGCCACATTGGCCTCCTTCTGTGCTGTAACATTCCGTGACTACTTGGGATGGATGATTCTCTCGCTCCTCATCCCAGCTACGTGTCTCAAGCCAAGCCTATGAGTAACTTTTCCCAACGCACCCAGGGCAGCGTCCCAGAGTGCTTGGCTTGGCTTGACGGTGGCAGAGCACGATGCTAAGGTGGAGGGAGAGGTGGGGAGTGGGGAGGTGACTGTAGGCACTGGTCGAAGAGGAAGGTCCTCAGGCGCGACCTGAAGATGGGGAAGGGAGGCAGCGGGCGGGGCGGTGGGCGGAGTGGGGGGGTATCGAGGCAGAGGTGTTTCCAAGTCTCGGGGCGCGGTGGCTGAAAGGGCGTCCGCCGACGGTGGAGCGGAGGGCACGAGGGACACGCAGGAGGCCGGAGCCGTCTATTCAGCAAGCCGCCCTTGTCTGTTGCAACGGTAGCCCAATTACACCCTGTGCCCTTTTCAGAGGCCGCCTGCTCTGTTTTTCCCCGACCCGGTGCCCGCGGGCCGGAACCCGTCGCCTCAGGGGAGGAAGCTGCTGACTTTAGAACAGCGGGTGGAGGTGATCGGGATCCACCGGGCCACGCGGAAGAGCAGCCGGAAGCTGGCCGCCCAGTTCGACTGCGGGAAGACGCAGATCGAGAACATCCTGAAACGCAGGCGCGAGATCCTGGAGGAGTACGAGCACCGGGCGCCCCCGGGCCGCAAGCGCAAGCGGGCCACCGGCAACGAGGACCTGAACCAGCTGTGCTGGGAGTGGTTCGGGGAGATGACCGCCCGCCGGGTGCCGGTCAGCGGCTCCATGCTGCAGGCCGAGGCCCGGAGGCTGGCGGCCGAGCTGGGCCACGCCGACTTCAAGGCCTCGAACGGCTGGCTCGACTCGTTCCGCAAGCGGCACGGCATCGCGTTCGGCGGGGCGGGGGCCGCGGCGGCGGCACGAGAACGGGGCGAGGGGGAGCCCGCCCGGGACCCGAGCCAGGGCTGGACCGACTGGCTGCCCGCGGCCCTCGAGAGCTACTCAACCCGAGACATCTACAGCTTGGGGGAGGCCGGCCTGTACTACCGAACCCGGCAAAGTGGGGTGGGGGGAGACTGGGAGTGCGGAGGCGGGGAGCGGGCGGGCGACAGGCTGACGGTCATGCTGTGCGCCAGCCTGGCGGGGGACAAGGAGCGGCCGGTGGTGGTGGGGCGGTCGGCCGAGCCACGGTGCTTCCGGAACATCGGCGTGGGCTCTCTGCCCGTCGACTATCACGGCAACAGGACCTCGTGGCTGACCAGCCAGGTCTTCGAAGACTACCTGCGACGCTTCGACCGGAGGCTGGGCGGGCAAAGCCGCCAGGCCCTGCTGTTCCTCCGCAACGCCCCCTCCCACCCCGACCTGCGGCTGAAGAATTTGAAGCTGGTGTTCTTCCCCCCGAACGCCACCTCGGCCCTCCAGCCCATGGACCAGGGCATCATTCGGTCCGTGAAGCTGCGCTACAGGGAGAAGCAACTGAACCGCGTGGCCAGGGAGCTGGACGGGGAGAGGAGCGGGGTCTCGAAAGGCACAACCGTCCTGGAGGCCGTCTACTGGATCAGTCAGAGCTGGGCGGACGTTGACCCCGGGCTGATCACCGAGTGCTTCAGCAAAGCCGGTTTCCCCGTGCCCGACACGTCCGAGGTGGCCCTGGACCACGGGGTGGGGGTTGCGAGCGAGCATCAGGCACCCGTCGCGCTGGAGGACCTGTGCGGGCGGGTTTTCGGGTGCGGCGTCCAGGAATTGGTGGACCTTGACAAGGACCTGGCCACTTGCAACAACAACATCGACCTGGACGGCACGGTCTCTGAGCTCACGCGGACACAGGGGCAGCCTCACAGCGAGGAGGAGGAGAGTGGGTCAGACCGTGAGCCAGAGCACCCGCCTGCCACCAGCCAGGCAGCCAGCCTGAAGGCAGTGTGGCCGCACGTCGAGGCGCTGAAGGACTTCTGCCTCACGCTGGGCCACGCCGACGTCTTGGAGTTAATGATGCGCGTGGAGGCCAAACTCTGCGAGAAACACGGGCAGAACGTAGCCAGGGAGAGCGCGCTGGTGGGCAAACAGTAACCACTCGTGATTGTTAAACCACGTAAGTGTAGAAGTCTGGAGTCCCATAGCGTAGCGGTCAGGGCCCTCGCCTCGCAAGCGAGAGGGCGTGGGTTCGACTCCCCGGGTCGGGGCGAAACCTTAGGCAAGTTTCCTTACTCCACGCTCGCCTCGGTTCACCCAGCAGTAAGCAGGGACACGGTTGTTAGGAAGGGCGATATTCCCTTCAAAAAATAATAATAATTTGGTCGCTCAATGCGTGATTGCACTTCCGTGCGCAATGGACTACCAAGTTTCGCCCACACGATACAGTCACTACACTTTACAGCATATGCTGTGAAGCGCTTTGTGCCGTCTCGAAGACGTGATCAGGCGCTGTGTCAAACGCAAGGACTATTGTTGTTTTCATGACTCTCTAAACACATGCGTTATCTTGTACGCCGTTGTATGTTTTTTTTTCCTTCTGGACCTTTCCACACAGTGTCTCTCATCTATTGGTTCATTAAAATTTATTTAGTGGGTGGGTTTGTGTTTTCCCGTACACTTAGGAATTCCACGCACACCAACGAACCCCTGAATCAGAGGCCACTCTTACACGAAGGCCACTTTGAGCAGTTGTTGAAGGCAGCCTCGACTGTACAATTACTTTGAGGAAAGCTGTGCGTAAAATATATAATAGGGTGCGATAAGGTTGACATAAACTGGCTGTTTCCGCTGGTTGGGGAGCGTGTAACCAGTGGAGGCAAATATAAGATAGTGACGAGGGGGCATCAGAAAGAGAATTTGGGAGGAACTACTTCAAGCAGCAGATGGGGAGATTGTGTGAAGTGGTGGTTGAATCAGAGTGTAGATACATTGAAGAGGACCTTCAGGTGAGGGAGAGGGTGGGGGGGGGGTAGAAGGGTTTGGGAGGGAGTACGGAATGGGTGAGGACTTGTATAATCACTGGCGCAGACCGGTTGGACCGAGCGGCCTGTTTCCGTGTGCTGTACAGTCTCTGTAGGTCTTTGTAAGAGAAAAACAAATGAATATAATTTGATCACTCGATCCACGGCTGTTTGTGGGGACGCTGCTGCGTGCAATCGGCCGCCGCGTTCCGCCCACAAAATCCACAGTCAGTTTCACTTTGCCGCGTACTTTGTGAAGCGCTTTGAGACGTCTCAGCGACGTGATAAGGTGCCGTATCAAATGCAAGGATCCTTATTATTACTAAGTCACAAAGTGCTTTGAGATGTGATGTCTTCCCGGTGTGAAATGCACTGCATAAATGCAAATTGTATTGCTGCAGACTGAGAGATTGACTTGTGTGCGTTACTACAACAACAACAACAACAACTTCTTGCGTCCCGGAGCACTGCACAGTGTTAGCAGAAATGCGTGTGATTGTAAACCGCCCGGTTTCCCTCCCTCTCTCACGCGCCGCACTGTCTCTGCCTTCTGTGTCCTAGAAAGTGCACGAGATGCTGAAGAAAGGCTGGGATGCCGAAGGATCTCCGTTTAAGGGGCAGAAATTTGATCCGACCATGTTCAATATTTCTCCCGGAGCCGTGCAGTTCTGATCACCAACCGCAAGAGCTATTGACGCCTCTCGCCTTCCGTCCAGCACCCCCGCAGACCAGCGGAGATTAGCGATCGACATCTTCCCTCCGGTTCGCGAGAGACTTTCTCTGAACTTCACCAGGTCACTCACTACACATCAGCCCTCAGTTCTTGTGAATTTATTTATTGTCTTAATTTCTGTTCACCTTTCTTTATTTCTTTTCCATTGGGCAAGTTTCCTTACTCCGCGCACACACACACACACACCCATACCTGTTTCCCTAGCAGTAAGTAGGAACCCGGTGGATAGTCGATTGACACATCGCTTTTCCAGGGGCAACAATCCCTTCAAAAATAATAATAATTTGATCACTGGATCCACGACTGTCTGTGGGACACTGCTGTGTGCAATTGATTGTCTATGAAACATACAGTCAATTTGCTTTACAGTATATATCCTGTGAAGCGCTTTGAGGAGTCTCGAAGATGTGATAAGGCGCTCTATCAAATGTAAGTATTATTATTATTATTATTACATGTTTATTCTCCTCAGATTTACCTGAATTAAACCTGATTTCTCAAAAGTGTGTGGAATGCTTTTGTGTTCATTGTCAGAATAAAGTGTTTCTCTCACTGTCAGTGCGCTCGCTCGCTCGCTCACTGTCACTCACTCACTCACTCACGCAGTGTCTGAAAGCTCTGAGATTTAAACAGCTTTGCCGTTATTATACAATAAAAGGATTTGTCTGAGTTTGTCGGGTGTTTTTATTCGGTTTTTATTCGGATTCTCGCTCCCAGAGACGGCGCGGACCTGATGGGCCGAGTGGGCTCCTCCTGAGCTGCAAAATTGTTATGAGATTCATTTGGAGTTCTGTGGCTCTGTAGTTAGAGCGCTCGCTCCGCACGTGAGAAGACACGGGTTCACTTCCCAGGCAGGACGAGCCTTTAGGCAAGTTTCCTTACTCCACCCGCCTCTGTTTACCGGCAGTAAGTAGGAACCTGGGTGTTAGTCGATTAGTGGATCGCTTTTCCGGAGGTAATAATCCGTTCAAAATAATAATTGTAATAATCTGTTAACTCAATCCATGCCTGTGTGTGGCTGCTGCGTTTCACCCACAAGCGACGCAGTCACTACACTTTGCCGTATATTCTATGAAACGCTGTGAGACGTCTCAAAGGCATGATAGGTCGCTATACCAAGTGCAAGGATTATTATTATTATTACTGCCCCCATCCCACCCCAGGATGGTGCAGTTGATCCAGCAGACCTGCTGGACATTACTTGATGAATGCACTCCCGAGTCCCTCAGACACGCGGAACACTGAGAGCCGATCGATTGCTTCTGTGCAGGCGTTCACAGCTTCCACTGCAAGAAATGAACTTCCCCAACCCTCCCAGGGGGTCTCTGGCTTCAGTGGCAGCTGTCACCGCTTTGCTGTCGTGTTTCCGTCAGCGGCTTTATTAGTTCTCGGGAAGGTGATTCCCACGAGGCGCAGCTCGAACGGTTCACGCGGAGATTGTCTGCCTGTCACCCTCTCCCGGCGAGAGCGAGCCGCCGCCTCCTCATGCCGTGGTAATCCCTGGAGCTCAGTGGGGTTAAGAGCGCTCGCCTCGCAAGCCAGAGGATCCGGGTTCGATTCCCAGGCAGGGCGAGAAAAACAAATTGGTCGCTCAATCCATGTCGGTTTGCGGGGGACGCTGCCGTGCGCAATTAGCTGCCGCGTTTTGCCCACAAAATATACACAGTCAATTCTCTTTACAGCGTATCCTGTGAAGCGCTTTGAGACGTCTCGATGAGGCGCTGTGTCAAATGCCAGGATTATTATATTTGAGAATGAAGAGCGCAGCAATAAATGGATGACATTACCGCCGTGATTTATCTTACGCAGGACTTGCAAATCTGCCTCTTTTTAAAGTCATAATATCAATTTTTTTTTCCCCTTTGTCACATCGTTTGTCATTCAAATCAATTATATTCGCACAGATCGATCCTAATGTTTTCTGGTTGTCCAGCCAAACCCCCCGGCGGTTTTGGCTGGATGAAGTTTAAAAAAAATTACTCAAAGTCGAATCGGGAGCCAAATAGAAACTTTAGTGACTTTGGTAAGTGAGGTACGAGCGGCTAAGAGTTAAAAGAATCTTGAGTGTGATCCAGTGTCCCAACCCTTGGTCTTAAACCTGAATCCACATGAGGACCACAGAGCCATAGAAATAACAATTAACAATTAATAATTAATAATCCTCGCACTTATCATGTCGTTGAGACGTCTCAAAGCACAGAATGTATTGTACGGTGGATCGACGTATATTTTATGTGTGATGTACGGTAGCCGATGGCACACAGCAGTCGTGGATTGAGTGACCAAATTTCTTTGGGGGAGGGATTATTACCCCCAGAAAGCATCTGTCAATCGACTAACAGCCGGGTTCCTCCTTAGTGCTGGGTGAACGGAGGAAGTGTGGAGGAAGGTAACCTGCCTAAGGTTTCGCCCTGACCCGCCCGGGAATTGGACGCGCTCGCGAGGCTACAGGACTCCAAACACAAAACAGGTTGAAGTCCTTGAGCCACGACTGAGTCAGTAAATAATTAAATAGTACGTCCGGAAGCACAAAAGGATGGCCTGGAAGAAAGTGGACCGCTTATTCACGGAGGATGAATGGTACCGCAGCATTTCCCTCAGCTTTATGGCATCCATTTCCTACCACTGCGAGCCAACATATCCAAAGGGGCTTCAGAAACGAGCGTACATGGCAATAGGAAATGATGAAGTGCTGCCGTGCGCTTGCAGAACACAAAACAAGGCAACAGCGCAAACCACAATGAATAAGGACGTGTCCACTCTATCTCTATCTTATGCTTGGATCTCGATCGCGGTATTTTTCAAACCAATTCGCACCGCGTTTGTGCCATCGCCTCATATCCTTCCACCGAGAGGAGGAACAAGAACAAGGAGGAACGAGCCTGTACCGCCGTTGTATTAGATCACAGCCTAATAATAATCCACAGCCTTTTGGGAGAGGGAGAGAGTTCCAGATACCCACGACCCTTCAGCTCCGACAGTAATAATAATAATAATAATAATCCTTGCATTTGATGGAGTGCCTTGTCACGTCTTCGAGACGTCTGAAATGCAGCAGACGTTAAGCCCTGTGTTGCAGCGTCAGCCTAGACCAAGGAGGTCCCACTAGGTGGCGTCTCGCACATGCCCAATAAAATAATAATAATAATAATCCTGGCATTTGGTGCAGCGCCTCGTCACGTCAAAGCGCTTCGCAGGGTGTATTGTGAACTGTAGCGACCGTGTATTTTGTGGGCGAAACGCGGCGGCCAATTGCCCGCGGCAGCGTCCCCCACAAACCGCCGTGGATTGAGCGGCCAAATTATTGCCATTTATTTTTTTTTGGGGGGGGGAGGAGTTGTTACCCCCAGAAAGCGATCTGCCGATCGACTAACAACCGGGGTTCCTAATCACTGCTTGGGAAACCGAGGCGTGCGGCGTGTGCGTGCGCGCGTGTGCGCGCGTGTGCGTGTGTGGAGTAAGGAAACTTGCCTAAGCTTTCACCCCGACCCGCCCGGGTTTTAAACCCGGGTCCTCCCGCTTTGCGAGGCGAGTGCTCTAACCGCTGAGCCGCAGGACTCCACAATTTAATCTCACGAGAGAGCGTTCGATTACGCTTCCTGGTGCTGGTCAGTCTGCGGTTGGGTCCCAGTGTAGCGCAGCCCCCCCCCCCGGGCACATCCAGAAATCAATAAGGAAATGGCCTCAACCACATCATCCTCACGCTTGTGTTCCACAGAGCACAGGTTCCTCCACGTCCCGTCTGCTGGTTGTGTAATTGATTCGAGCCAAAACGCACCGACTTTCTGAACAAGTCATTCGTAACAACAACAACAATAATAATCCCTGGTGTTGGATACAGCGCCTCATCACGTCTCCGAGACGCCTCTCACTGTAAAGCGAATCAACTGTATATTTGGTGGGTGCCAATTGCGCACAGCGGCGGCCCCCCCCCCACCCCCCCCACACACAAACAGACCAAATTATTACTATTTTTCAATTAATCTACTTGTTAACAGCGTTTCATAAATAAACAAACACCAGAACAGCAACAACAATACCATCTTTTGCCCTCTCCCCCCCCCCCCCCCCCCAGAATATTGTGTAAAATGTTAGATTCTATAATGATGATAGACTTGTATTGACGTCGGCCATTTCACAAAGGGGAAGCGTCGTATTTACGTATAAAATATCGTTGATGTACAGCAAATCTGCACTGGAAACGCGGCGGAGAATGAGATCTTGAAGTCTCCATTTGAATTCTCTCTCCTCCTCACCCGGTCTCCCTTTCCCCCTCTCTCTCCCCCTCTCTCTCTCCCCTCTCTCTCTCCCCCTCTCTCTCCCTCTCTCCCTCTCTCTCTCTCTCTCCGTGCGGGTGTGACACAGTTGTGTGTGTGAGGCAGTGTGTGTTACACAGTGTGTGCGTCTGCGCGCGACGTGCGACAGCAGGCGTGTGCGCGTGCGACACGATTGTGCGCGCGCGAGCGCGTGACGCTGGCGTGTGCGACAGACACGGTTGCGTGTGCGACGCAGTTGTGTGTGTGTGTGTGTGTGAGTGAGTGCGCGACGGTGGTGTGGGCGAGAATGTGACACGGTGTGCGTGAGTGTGTTTGTGCGACGGTGTGTGTGTGTGAGACACAGTGCGTGTGTGTGACAGTGTGTGTGTGAGACACAATTGTGCGTGTGATACAGTGCGTGTGAGTGTGTCACAGTGTGTGTGTGTCACAGTGTGTGTGTGTGAGTGTGTGACAGTGTGTGTGTGTCACGGTGAGTGTGTGGCACTGTGTGTCACAGTGTGTGAGTGTATGACACATTGTGTATGTGTGTGAGTGTGACAGTGTGTGTGTGAGTGTGTCACAGTGTGTGAGTGTGAGACACATTGTGTATGTGTGTGAGTGTGACAGTGTGTGTGTCACAGTGAGTGTGACAGTGTGTGTGTGAGTGTGTCAATGTGTGTGTGTGTGACAGTGTGTGTCACAGTGAGTGAGTGTGTGTGTGTGTGTGTCGCAGTGAGTGTGTCAGTGTGTGTGTGTGTCACAGTGAGTGTGTCAGTGTATGTGTGTGAGTGTGACACAGTGTGTGTGTCACAGTGAGTGTGTCAGTGTGTGTGTGTGACAGTGTGCGTCACAGTGAGTGTGTGTGTGTGTCGCAGTGAGTGTGTCAGTGTATGTGTGTGAGTGTGACACAGTGTGTGTGTGTGTCACAGTGAGTGTGTCAGTGTGAGTGTGTCAGTGTGAGTGTGAGTGCCAGGCCCCGCCCCCTGCCCACCAGCTGTCAGCTCAGGGGGCGGGGCCTGCCGGCCCTGTGGGCGGGGCCAGGCGGGGGTGGCAGTGCGCAGGCGCGGGGGCTGCTATTGCCCTGGGAGCTGAGCTGTCAATCAGTGGCCACTGCAGCCCTGCACAGCCTCACCCACCCCAACCCACCCAACCCAACCCTGCACAGCTCAGCCCTGCACAGCCCAGCTCAGCCCCAGCCTCACCCAACCCAACCCTGCACAGCCCTGCACAGCTCAGCCCCACCCCAACCTCAGCCAACCCTGCTCAGCCCTGCACAGCCTCACCCAGCCCTGCTCAGCCTGGCTCTGCAGCCCAGCTCAGCCCCAACCTCACCCACCCCAACCCTGCTCAGCCCTGCACAGCCCAGCTCAGCCCCAACCTCACCCAACCCCAGCCTCACTCAGCCCACCTGGCTCTGCAGCCCAGCTCAGCCTCACCCAGCCCAGCCCACCCTGGCTCTGCAACACAGCCCAGCCCTGGTCTGCAACTCAATCTCTCTCTCTCCTTCCCCCCTCCCTCCCCCCCTCCCTCCCTCCACCCAACCCCAGCTCTGGCTCTGCAGCCTCAGTCCCTCCCCAGCCTCAGTCCAAAAGCCTGCAACAGCCAGTCTTTGCTCTGCCAGGGTCTGGTCTCTCCCTCCCCCTCCCCTCCCTCCCTCCCTCCCTCAACACAGCCAGGAGCCAGCGACCAGCAGTGAGCTCAGCTCAGCCAGGAGACCAGGGCTGCAGCTACAACCTCTCTCTCTCTCTCTCTGCACTCCCCTGCCTGAAACCAGCCCCCAGCCCAGGGTCTGCTGCACAGTCTCTCTCCCCCTCCCCCCCCCCTCCCTCCCTCCCCAGCCCACACAGCCAGAAGCCAGGGTCTGCAACCAGCCTCCAAACAGCTGCCCTCTCCCCCCCCCCACCCCACCCCCAGCCAGTCCTGCTGTGTAACCTCCCCCTCTCCCCTGGGTGTCTCTGCTCAGGGCACCTCAGCACCAGCCTCCCCCCCTCCCCCTGCCCACAGGCTCTGCACACAGGGCACTGCCCTCCCCACCAGCCGCCATGGCCTCCACAGGGACCTGCACCAGGTTCAGTGATGAATACCAGCTGTACGAGGAGCTCGGCAAGTAAGTGACTGTGCGGGGGGTCTGGAGGGGTGGGGGGTAAGGGGGAAAAAAGGGGGTGGGGGGGATGGGCAACATTGTACTGTCGGTGTATCCTCTCTCTCCCCTTTCTATGTATCTCTCAGAGTAACATTGTTACTGACGTGTGTATCGCTTGTGGTAACATTGTTACCGACGTGTCTCTGTCGTGCGGTAACATTGTCGCTCATATGTATCCGGGCGGACAGTAACATTGTTACTGGACCTCCTCGGGGGCAATATTGTTACTAACCCGTCTCCAGCCGTGTGGTAACACTGTTACTAATGTTACTGTATCTGTCTTAGAGTAACATTGTTACTACATGCATTTGACTTGGGGTAATATTGTTACTAACATGTATCTGACATGTGGCAACATAATTACTAAACTGCCCCCCCCCCCCTTATGGTAACATTATTACTACCATAACCATAACCCTTTCCTCTCTCTCTCTCTCTCTCTATGTGTGTCTCTATGACTTTTGTGTAACACTGTGACTAACCTGTATCTCCCCCCTCCCCCCCCCCCACACCCCCCCTCTCTCCCCCCAATCCAGAGGGGCTTTCTCTATCGTCCGAAGATGTGTCAAACTGTCCACTGGGCAAGAATACGCGGCCAAAATCATCAACACCAAGAAACTCTCGGCCAGAGGTTGGTGATTTTTTTTTTGACGTATTAATCGCTTCCCCCCCCTTTGTCTTTGTCTTCCCATGTGAAATGTACATCATTTCTTATGAAGTGTATGTGTTTATATGTGTTTACATGTGCACACATTGCTGTATAAATTAACGGGCGCGTATAATAGGAAATGTATTTCTTACGTGTGTGTGTGTGTGTATACATACACATGTATGCAGAAATGTGTGTGCGTTACGAAACCTGTGTGTTTATATGTCCACACATTTCTATATGCATTCGTGTGTATGTTTCACATATGTTCATATCTGGCACAGACACGATGGGCCGAATGGCCTCCTTCTGTGTTGTATAATTCTATGATTCCGTGTGTGTGTGTGTGTGTATATATAACATGTATGTATACTCACCAAACTCATTTCTGCAAGAAAAAGGAACTTTTCACGTGTAGAACGTGTGTATGGACATGTAAAACATGTGTATGTACGCGCGCGCACACATTTCCGTTCTCCACGTCCCCTCCCCTTTCCTTCTTGGAGATGATCAGTACGGGATATAAAATAGGTGTCGGTCACACACACACACACACACAGCCGGTCACAGCCCGGTTTCACCCCCCGTCCTTCTGCTGTGTTCTTATATTTCTTTTTAAAAAAATAATAATCCTCGCATTTGTCACAGCGCCTCACAGCGTCTTCGAGACGTCTCGGAGCGCTTCACAGCGTCTACTGTAAAGGGAGTCGGCTGTGTGTTTTGCGGGTGAAAAAAAAAAGACATTTCGCACACAAAAAAGGATCTTAATTGTGCATTTTTGTGTGTGTAATTTTCCTAGTGTTTTGTCAAGATAGGAGTGGGTGGGTAGCTTATGTGTGTGTGTATATATATAATAATAATACATATGTGTGTGTATATTCTATGGGGGTGGGGGTTGGGGGAAATATTTTTTTATATGTATTGTCAGCCCTTTTAAAGCATCTCCAGTGATTTTTGTTTTGAATGAAATATGTGGTGTTTCCTTCTCTTGTGGGTGGATTTTGCTTTGCTCTGAGATGGTGGATGTGGGAAGAGGGAGAGATGAGGGGAAAAAAACTGTCCTTTTGTTTGTGTGTGTGTTTACAGCATCACTTAAGATCTCTGTCTGTCTGTGTCTCTATCTCACTGCTTGTCTGTCTGTGTGTGTCTCTGTGTGTCTGTGTGTCTGTCTGTCACTGTCTGTGTGTCTCTCTCTGTCTGTCTGTGTGTGTGTGTCTCTCTCTGTCTGTCTGTGTGTGTGTCTCTCTCTGTCTGTCTATGTGTGTGTGTCTCTCTCTGTCTGTCTGTGTGTGTGTGTCTCTGTCTGTCTCTGTGTGTGTCTCTCTCTGTCTGTCTGTGTATGTGTCTCTCTCTGTCTGTGTGTGTGTCTCTCTCTGTCTGTCTGTGTGTGTGTGTGTGTGTGTGTATCTGTCTGTCTGTCTGTCTGTGTGTGTGTCTCTCTCTGTCTGTGTGTGTGTGTGTCTCTGTCTGTGTCTGTCTGTCTATCTGTCTGTCTGTGTGTCTCCCTCCCTCTGTCTCTAGCCATGTAAGGCTGACTTGAATGGAGGATGCAGTTCTCAATTGCAATATCCTCTGCCTTCCCTCCCGCTCCCTCTCCCATCCCTTCCTAATATGGCTAATGAAAATTACATGCAAGTCAGTTGTTTTGTTAAAGAAATACGTGGGGGGTGGGGGGGGGGGGGGTGGTGGCATTGAAGGGCATTTCAGGAGAAGGTAGTTGCTTAAAAATGGTGGGGTGGGGGCGGGAGGTGCTTTTGCTGGAACGTGTCTCTGTGTGTGTGTGTGTGTCTGTCTGTCTGCGTGTGGCGGTGTGTGTGTGCGCGCACACCTCTGTGAGTGAGTGTGCATTGATGAGCCTCTGTATGTAAGTGTGTGAGAGCGCGTGTGCGTGTGCGTGCGTGTGCGTGTTTTTCCTCCAGCAGACAATGTGTTTGGTCAGTGCTCCTCGGAGGAGCCAGGCTGAGAGATCGCTGTACAATTGAACGCTTATTAAAAAAAAAAGCACCGAAGCCAAAAGAAAATCTGAAATGCAGCCTTTTTTTATATAGCGTATTTTTTGCGTCTCTCTTCTCACATGCCCTGTCCTACTTCCCCTCCCACCCCACAACATGGAAGTAATAAAAGCTGTGTGTGTGTTTGTGTGTGTGTGTGTGTCTTTGTGGGGTGGGGGTGTCTGCAATTCGAAGCGCTTTGAGACGTCTCGAAGACGCGATGTGGCGCTATTTGAAATGCAAGTATTATTCGCACAATTCAGTGTCTCTGACTTCATCCGCCCCTCGCTCTCCGCCTCCTCCGAGCTTATAGTAATGATAATAATCCTCGCACTCGCTTTTCGCCTGATCAGGGTCGTCGAGACGCCTCAAAGCGCTTCGCAGAATATACTGCAAGGTGAATTAATTGGCTGTGCGCTTTGTGGGCCAAACGTGGCAGCCACCAGCCCACAGCAGTGCCCCAGAAAACAGCTGCTGATCGAGCAGCCAAATTATTATCGTGTGCGCTTTCCTGAATCTTTTCATAAGCTTCTGAAACACCTGGGAATTGACAGCACAGAAGGAGGCAGTTCGGCCCATCTCAGTCGTGTCCGTGGGACGTTGCTATTTTTATTTATTTTTCCCCTCCCGAAGCTAAATATCTTGCCGAAACTGACTGGAATTATATATATATATATGTATGTATTTTTTTTGCACCAGCCAATTTAATATGCATCTCTTTTCTCCTGCCTTGCACCCACCCACGTGTAAATTGATGGTAGCCAACAGACAGACCAACCCAAATCACTCACCGACACAACGACAACAACAACTGACATTTACGCAGCGCCACTCACAGCGGGAGGACGGCCCAAGGCGCGAAGTGTGGCAGCGCAGGTCCGCAAGGCAACGTCCCACGAATGGCCACGGAGAGAGCAACCGATTTTATCAGGGGGAGGAGATTGTTGGCCACGACCCCGACTGGGAGAGGGGGGTGGGAGGTGGGGGATAACTCCCTTATTCCCTTACTCGGCTGAGGTAGGCCTGTTTGCCCCTGACTTGCCGTTTCAGCACACTCCCAATTCCTTGAGTTGATCTCCGGTGCGATTGGACCAGGGTGAGGCTGGTGTGTTTGATCCCCTCGCTGGTCAGATAAATGGGGTGCCCACCGTGCAATAATAATAATAGTATATTAACAGTAATATTCCTCGCATTCGATTTTGCACATCCGATTAAAGATCTTGGTCGCTCAGCCCTCGGCTGTTTGTGGGGGACGCTGCGGTGGCGCAGTTGGCTGCCGCGTTTCGCCCACAAACGATACAGTCACCACACTTCACCGCACCGCACATGCTGCGAAGCGCTTTGAGGCGTCTCGAAGACGGCGAGAGGCGCCGTATCAAATACGAGGGCTGTCGGGCCAGTCGTCTTGCCTCTTGAGTCGCAGGGTTGGAGCCTTGAACTCACGAGTCTCGATCACGTGAAAAGGCGCGATATCGAACGCGAGGGCCAATATCGTTAAGCGGCAGTGCTCGTGCGAGGAGGGTGTGTGTGTGTCTGCAGCCCTCGGCGCTCGGGTTTTTCAGGAACTGCCTTCGAGGAGATCTGCGTGGCATGACTCGCTTGATAGTTTAACAGTAGATTTAAAAAGTCTTGTTCCTGCAAATCCTTCCTGTGCACAAACTATCTCCCCACTCCCCCCCCCCCCCCCCGGTCTCTACGTGTTACATCTGACACCTCGCCTCAGATCAACGACGACAGCAACGACAACAAAATTCCATTTATAGGCTATAATAATAATAATAATAATAATCATTGTGGAGTCCTGTAGCTCAGCGGTTAGAGCACTCCCGCCTCGCGAGTGGGAGGAGCCGGGTTCGATTCCCGGGTGGGTCGGGGCAAAACCTTAGGCAAGTTTCCTTCCTTACTCCGCACATGCACACACTCACACACACACACACACGCACGCACACTCACTTCACACACTCACTCACTTCACACACGCGCGGCACACACACATACTCACTCCGCACACGCACACTCACTCCACATATGCGCACACACACACACACGCTCACTCCACGCACACGCAAACACACACACACACTCACTTCGCACAAGCGCACCTCTGTTCCCGCAGCAGTAAGTAGGAACACGATTGTTATTTGATTGGCTTTTCCGGGGGTTAAAAAAAATATTGACTTGGGTCACTCGACCCACGGCTGTTTGTGGGGACGCTGCTGTGCGCAATCGGCCGCCGCGTTTCGCCCACAAAATCTACAGCCGATTAGTTCAGTTTATGGGATATCCCGTGAAGCGCTTTGAGACGTCGCAACGGCACAATATGGCACTACATCAAATGCGAGGATTATTATTATTATGATCAGGAGTTTGTGCGGAGCTGTTGCAGACGCCTGTGCCTTATTGTCACAGGAATGTACTGCGCTGACTCGGGGGGAGAGAGGGATTGCTTTGAGGTTGCATAGCTGGCTCTCGCGCTCTCTCTCGCGTTCTCTCTCTCTCGTTCATTCTCTCTCTCTCTCGTTCATTCTCTCTCTCTCTCTCTCTCCCCCGAGCTGTGAACCTTATCGAGAACCGGGATCTCGGGCGCTATACATAGACGTGTGCAGCCAGCAAAGTCGCTGTTTTAAGTGTGAATTCAGCCCGAGACGGAAAAAAAAAATCATTAACTTTCTCAAGATCTGAATCAAAAGCTCCCCCGGGGGGGAGTGGTGTAGTGCGAAGGTTGATTGAAAGGCTCAAATTAAAAGCGTTTCATGTTTCAAATTAACCCTAAGACTCGACACTCCCCCCTTTCCCCTCCGTTGCCTCGTTGAAAGCATCGCACGGAGGATACAGCTCAAGATCCCGGTCCTCACTTTCAATGCCCCTCTACGGCCTNCCCCACCCCCACTCTACCCTACGTGAGGGGCTGCCGTGTAAACACAAGTTGTTGTTATATTTCCTCGCGGTTTCTTTGTGCTGCGCTGAGGGATAACGGCGGGGGAAGGAAGG